CCCGTCAGTCAAAGTCTTGGCCTCCCTCCTGTGGACGCAGTGCCCAGACTGTTCCATACGCCGGGCACAGATCAGGGCACGTAACCGGACACCCAGGTGTTCCACTAACACCTGTCCCCAGGTGTTCTCTTTGGGAACCCTAACAGAAAGGACTGGAAGGCGTAGCTGCACCCCAAGGTATGCAGGGAAGTCAGATCCAGCACTTGGTCAGGGTAGCACTGAGGACGCATCTGTCCACAGAAGGAACTGAGCACGTGTTGGCAGGGCCATGGCTGGGGGCAGACAGACAAGAGACTCCAGCCTCCTGGAGCCAAGGTGGTGGAGGAAGGGCAATGCAGAGAACAAGAAGCAAACGGCACAGGTGCTAGAAGCTGGTGAGCACCGTTGACTGAGGGGCAAAGGTCTCGCCTTCTGGCCTCGAGGCCCAGGTCAGAGGCCCGGCCATGCCCCTCACGCACAGGCTCCACCTGGCTGTCACCATGGTGCTGGGTGGCATTCAGCAGAGCTGACAGACTAGGAAAAAAGGCCTGGCAACCTCTTTCCAAAAACCAACCAACTGAAAACTTGATGGGTCCGACCAGTCCCACGTGCAACCAAACATGAGGTGGTGCAGGACTGGGCAATGCTTCGTGTTCTGCTCTGCCCAGGCTCGCCGTGAGCTGGGCACTGGCTAGATAGTGGCCGAGGGGAAAGAGAGTTGTTGGGGTGGGAGGAAACTGGTGTCTGACCCTCGTGGCTCTGCATGGGAGACGCAAACAGGGAGGTGCAACACAGTCCGGGGAAGCAAATCCAAAGGTTTCACCCCGACCCCCACCCTCACCCCACTGCAGTCCTTCAGAGGCCTGGGCCCACTGGCTCTGACCCTCAAACCCCACCCCCTCACTCTCTCCCCAGGCCTCTGCACATGCTGGCCACTTCCAGAAGCACTTCCCCACGGCTGGTCCAGCTTGAAAGCCACTTCCGCAGGGCCTCCCACGCCGCTGCTCCCACGGCCCCCCACTTCCCATTTCTGCACCCACCGCACTCCCTGCCGCTTCTCCCCCGCTTCCCCTCCAAAGGCAGGCTCCCCAGAGAGTGGGCTGCTGGCCCCTGCAGCATCTCCAGCGGGAGCCTGGAGGACTGGTGCTGAGGGACTGGGGAGGGGCCGGGTGCCCAAGGGGAGGGCGGGGAGGGCAGGGGACACATCTCTTCTCCCTGGGCCTCGGCATCCTGTGTGGCTTCAGAGGCTGCAGCTCGGAGGACGGGGCGGAGCAGTGAGCACCCGGTCACCTGCTGACGCTGATTCAAGAGCAGGAAGCAGAAGGCTGGACGAGTCCGTGGCCATCAAGTGGCCTCCAACTCATGGTGACCCCAGGAGTGGTCAGAGTAAAACTGGGCTCCAGAGGGTTTTGAACGGTCAAACATTGATTACCAGGTCATTCTTGTGAGGTGCCTCTGGGTGGCCTCGAACCTCAGAACTTGCCGTTAGCAGCCAGCATCCGTGCCACGGGGGCCTCCCTATCAGCTGCACAGCAAAAGGCTTCACTGATGTGGATCCTGGGTCCAAAGATGAAGAACTCCTGCCCAAGGGCAGCAGCTCACGTCCTAGCTTTCGGAAACAGGTCCCCCCTCTGCTCTCACACTTGTCCTGAGTTGTTCTCCTCCAGGCAGCTCAGGTGAGGAGAAGGATCCAGAAGGAAGCGGAAGCCACGAGCCACGGCCAGTGATGAGCCCACCAGGAACCTCAGGCTAAGGGGAGTCCACCAATGGGCGGAAGGCAGTCGAAGGAGGCCCAGCTGCCCATCTGGGGCGCAGCGTCTACGCGCCCACCACACAGCTTCTGAGCGTGGCCCAACCGCCCTGTTGCTGGTGATGCTGCACGCAGCCTCAAACCTGGCAGCCACATGCCCCTCTGTCTGCCATGGGGCTAGCCGGCGGCTATGGCTGACATTGCTCCGAGTTCCAACACCCTCCCTGCCAGCGAGTCGATTCCGACTCACAACGACCCGTGGGGTAGAACTGTCCCTGTGGGTTTCCGAGACTGTGATTCTGCACAGAGATAGAGAGCCTCATCTCTCAACAAATGTACGAATGTGCTTGATACAATGGATGGATGGATGGATTGTGATAAGAGTTGTACGAGCCCCCAATAAAATGATTTTTTTTAAAAGAAAGAAAGCCTCATTTTTCTCCCATGGAGCGGTTGGTGGTTTTGAACTGCTCACCGTTTCCGTATGTCATCTACTATGCTCCCAGGGGTTACTCCCCATATTCACAAACCAGAGAGGCCCACAGAAGAATCCAAGTGCCCAGCTTCCTTGATGAAACAGGCAGCCCTAGGCTGAAGATGGGAGACCAATGCCAACGCCTTAGGGAGAAAGCCTCTTCTCCCCCCAGGGTTCTGGGAAAGAGGGTGGGCAAGTGAAGACCCAGGTGAGCTGGCGGACACTGCCCAATTTGGTAAACAATAGCTACAGTCCCCATCACCCTATAGCCTCACCCCAGAATTCTCTCTTGTTCACACCACGTCCCTGGTCTCTGTCGGCTTTCAGCTGCCAGCTAGCGTCTTAGACACACACAGACCTGGGGCTTGTCGATACTCTCAGGTAGCAGCTGCTTTCCCCCCCATCTCACCCCAGCTTCAGAGGCACAGGGTCCAGCAGCCATGGGAATCTGACAGCTTCTCCATGGGGGAACAGTCAGAAACTGCCACACAGAGGGGCCAGCCAGCGCCGGGCCGCTCGGTAAAGAGGGAGGACTGACTGACAATGCACCTGACACGAGAGTGCTTTTGTCCTGAGACGCCCGCTCAGCATTCGCCTTCCTGCACGCAAAGTGCCCACGAGGCCGCTCTGGGGGAAACCACCTCATCACTAATCCATGAGCGACTCACGGTGACAAGCTCGAGAAGACGTGAATCGCTATTTTTGCCTTGAAGCATCTGTCCCCTTGAGCCCTTCCATTAAAAAATGGACTCATCCACTCTTTCAAAAATAATGATTTGATGACCATAAGCTCCCTCTAGCCTGGAGGGTAACATTCCTTCCAAATCCAACATGAACTTGCTTTCTTCAGGCAGGTCCACAAGATACTAGAACGGCCGCTGTGAGGCTCCGGAGACGGACAGCAAACACACAGACAAATAAATCAAGGGCAGCGATACCTGTTTCTTATCCTGTGTTTTCTTAAAATCTTCACACGCTAGCCAAAACAAGACATTTTCTTCGCTGAATTCCTTTTTTAAAAACTCCTGTGGATGAAAAGGGGGAGAAAAAGAATCACACAGTAAGATGCCTTTACTGTACCATCTTACTTGGTCCCCAAGACCACGTACGGTCCTGAGACACCCTTCAAGCTTTCACCGAACTCACCCTCCTGGCTCACCTGTTGGCCAGACAAGACACCAAACCAAACCCGGCCGTCCAGTCGGTGCTGACTCACAGCGACCCGAGGGGACTGACCCCCTGTGGGTTTCCAACACTGTCACTCTTCAGGGGAGCCCCGGCTCTCTCCCTTGGAGTGGCTGCTGGTGCTTTAAAACTGCTCACCTCGCAGTTGACAGACCCATAGGTAACCACGATGCCAGCAGGGCTCCTCCCCTTCACAGTGAACAGTAACTCCAGGGAGGCCCACCTCCGTACCACCACCAACCACGTGAGATCGAAAGGGCAGGATGAGAGAGAATCACAAGAGGAAACCGTTCGCAGAGGGTGGAAGCGGGAGAGGGTCGCTACATTGTAAGGACTGCCGTCAAGATCACAAAATACAATGTGCACGACCTATTGAATGGAAATTCCATTCGCTCTGTAAACTTTCACCCAAATCCCAATTTAATTGTTTTTTAATTGTTGCTGTGGCTTAAATGCGTGTCCCTTTGAGGACTGATTTTGCAAAGTGTAGCCAGTGAGCATGATTCCATCACCTTTTAAAAGCCTCACCCTGTGAAACAACGTGTATGTTTAATGTTAGCGCCAGAATTCCAGGTGTGTTTGACTTCTTGGGCGGGGTGAAAGCGAAGCAAGAATCAGAATCTATTACAGCATTTCCAACAGGCCAATAAATTACTACCAAGGAAATCACAGCGGAAGAGCTATTAGTTCCTGTAGACAGTGTTTAAACAAAGCACATTCCTTGAAAAATCAAGGCTCATTTCTTTTTCTTTTTTTTAACAGGAGGAAAAACAAAAACCATAGCATTTCTTTAAAAACTCCATGATGAAACGGCCTTTCGGCTGAAGGTATGTGTTCTCTGGGCAGAGGCTGGGAGGCGGCTCTCCCTTCCTATGCCGGGAAAGCCTCCAGGCGTCTGCAGAAGCCTGGCTCTAGACACCATAAAGGTCCCTCGTCCTGCCCACAAGCACTTCCCTGGGCACCGCTATTTATCCTGGCCTGACCCAAGCTCAAAGACAGAGGTTGGCAGGACACAAGTAGGTTCAAGACGTTCAAGAAATTCACATGTGGTCCCTCCAGGGATGGCTTCCACTGGGCTAAACAGTTACAGACAGGAAGCCTGGACGTTTAGCCGTCCTTCGGCTCCCTCTCGGCCTGGCCCTCTGTGCCGGCTGCTATCCAGCCTCGCTTCCTGGGAAGCGGATGGCATCCCGAGAATCCTCAAAACATGAGAGAGAAAGAGTGCATGTGAGAGAAGGAGCAAGCGAGCCTTCATATCAAACAGTCCCAGGGCTGGAACTCTCCAGACAGACTGACTGACAAAGATCCCACAGGCCCTTCTGACTTACATCAACCCTACAGGACAGAGCAAAGCTGCCCATGTGGGTTTCGGAGACTGTAACTCACTGCCACGGAGTCAATGCCCACTCATAGAGACCCTATAGGCCAGGGTAGAACTTCCCCTGTGGGTTTCTGAAACCAGCTCTTTACAGGAGTAGAAAGCCTCATCTTTCTCCCTTGCAGTGGCTGGTGGTTTCAAACTGCTGACCTCGGGGTTAGCAGCTAACTATACCAGCCACCAGACAGACGGTGTTAAGAGCTGGCCGGTGCACATCCCACCCCCACACACAAACCCATCCCCTGCCCGTAACTCAGCTCAACCTTGGTGTTTTGCATCAGTCCCCATCAACAAGGAAAATGGCAAACCCTAAATCTTTTCACGCCTTCTGGGTCTTCCAGCAGATTCTCCAGGGAGGCGGCCCACGTGGTGGTGCTTTTGAGGTTCTGGTGGCTGCTGCTGGCACTGCTGTCCCCATCGTGCATGTCTGTGGAAGACAGGTCAGACTGGTGATGTGCTTGGTACCCGACACCGCCCTGCACAAACCCACCTGCAAGCTCCCTGGGGCATCACCCACCACTAGCATTCGAGGCCCAAGGCACAGCTCATTCCGTCTGGTCCTCCTAGCAACGTCGGAGGTGGCACCGCCATTCCTTCCATTTGACAGATGGGGAAAACCGAGGCTCAGAGCTATAAAACCCTACCCCTCCCGCCAAGTCACAGCAATCCACTGCAGGGTTTCCACGGCCGTCAATCTTTATGGGAGCAGTCTCATCTTTCTTACACAGCAACGCTGGGGGATTCAGCCTGCCGGCCTTGCCCTTAGTAGCCCGAGGTCTAACTCACAGTGCCAGCAAGGTTCCTCAGAGCAATAAGGAGACTTGTCATTTCCCGTGTGTGTGTGTGTGTGTGTGTGTGTGCGTGCGCGCGCGCGCGCGCGCGCGCATGTGTGTCTAACAAAACTCAAAAGCATGAAAGAGACCAGCCTTACTGGTTGGACAGAGACTGGGGGAACCCCAAGACTCGTGCCCTTCGGGTCTGGAAATGAACTCACCCCCATGGCTCAGTTTGCAGCCAAACTAGAGAACATCTGTAAGGGGGGCAGTCACACTCGAGAGACACACAATACACTGGAGACAAATAGATTCGGCCTGCAGTCCCAAAGACAAACTGGACCGACAGGGGAAGCAACTATGCTCTCCGGAACAAGAACCACCTTACGGCCGGCCCGGCCCGGTGGTGTTTCATGTGTTGTACATGGGGCCACTGTGGGTTGGGACCCACTAAAAGCACAGCAGCCCCCGTTTCGGGGGGGGGGGGAATTACTCAGCACCCCCCTAGCAATTAAAATCTTATGCAAGCAGCCCATCATCCAAGATAAAGTGTAAAGTGCTTTTTCAGGCCCCTTGTGTCTTTCCAGCGCCTCCCCCCTCCCCAGAGGGCAGGATCGCCCACTGCAGGGAAACACTGCTTAGACTCATCAACCACTTAAGATCAAAAGGGCAGCATTTGCTCAGAACATTTGCTCAGAGAAGAAGAGAGGATGGATGTGGAGACAGGAGGGAGAAATGGTGCTACCTTGTGGGGATTGCGATCAATGAGATAAAACAAAACCTGTCTGCGCTCCTGAATGGAAAATGGACTTGCTCAGTCAACCTTCCCCCATCTCACAATAAAATGTTTTTGTTTTTAAAGAAAGGTTGGCAGACTAGAAACCCTCTGGGCCGGTTCGACTGGCTAGGATTTCCACACTGACTCTCTGAGACTAACATCCGAAGGCTGAAGGGCCCTGGTGTGGAAGGTGAAGGATGATGCTCCGTTTACCCAACTCCCATCACCCCCAGCGACCTGGCAGGGCAGGGTGGAACTGCCCCTGTGGATTTTGGAGACGTGACTGGATGGGAGAAGAAAGCACCTCTACTGTTCTCCCTTTGTTCAAGACACTTAAAAAGCTCTTGGCCAATGAAGAGGTGCAAGGGGACGGGGGACTCCAACGAGCAGCTTGGCTACTTGCCTATAGGAGGAAGTGGGGGCCCAGACACCCCTCAGTCTACAGCTGCCCTTTCCTAGTGTCAGAGACTAACCCCTGGATTGGCTCACAGGGCTCAAAACCCCGCAGGGCCACTTCGAATTTCAGAACGCAAGGTGTTCTTGGGTGTCAGATGAAGATAACCCCCCAACTCTCGGGGTACCCTAAGATGCAAAGAGGCACCTAACAGGGGCCTCGGCTCACAGCAGACTCAACACACACACACCAGCTCCCCTCAAATTTCCTTCAAACAATGACCCCTCCCGGAGCCCAAACTCCCCTTTCTGACACCCCCACCCCGCCCGCCAGCCCCAAGCTAGAGACACGTTTCTATGAAGAACAGTTTGAATCTGGGAGAAGAGGCACTTTTCAGTAAGAAACCAGCAGAACATGTATGGGCCCTCTCATTTTCAAAGGACCAACAGAAAGTCTTACAAATAGATTATTAATGTGAGATGTTGCTGCAGAAAGCACATTCTTTTTTGGGGAACACTGTTAATAAGAAAATGTGCCTTCACAGCAAGTCGGCTTCTCTGAAGACCAACACCCGCATTCAACTCTGACCTGCTCAGATCCCCACATCCCAGCCAGGCGGGGGGACCACCTGGACCTGAGACGCCCGCTGTCTGGCACACTAAATGAAGCGGATGCCATTCAAGGGGTGGAGGGGGTCGTCTCCCCACACTGGAGATGGGAGACCAAGGACTCAGGACACACCCACCCTTCTCAGCGAGGCAAGCAAACCCGCCGGAGCCGATCTCTCACCAAATGGACCGGACACTTCTCTGAATCAACTCTTCAGTTCCTGGCTATTAAATCTGCTCTCCGATATCTCCGTCCAGACGGGCTGCTTCTGCCCACAGAGCACACACCGGCCAAACGTTCCTTCCCTGGCCGCCTCCCTCACTCTGTCTTCTGGGCTGGACTCCGGGCACCACCGGCCAGGCTCCTCCATCCCACTGGCAGGTCGCAGCTTAAACTAAACAAAGGCAGCCAGGCGGAAGGAGTTGCTGTCCCAGAAACAGTCTGCAGACCCACAACTGTCTCCGGCCGGCCGGCGCACAAGGGTGACTCTGGCCTTGAGGATTTGTCCTGGGTCTGAAATCATTCCAACACGCCTGGTGTTCTTCTCAGTAAGAATCCACACCACGCCGGGCTGTTAGGCTGTTCACTGTCTTGAAACGACAGGTGGACCCTTAGGTAGCCACAGTGATGGGGTAACGGGCCTTGGGTTCATTGTGTGTATAGGCATTCGCTCCCTCTTCCCCTCATTTAACATGTTATTTTGGGGTGGAGAGGGAGGAGGGAGAAGGAGTGCATTAAGTTGCTCTGCTAGCGTCATTTGAACTACGTTGGCCTGTGGTCCCCCCCACCCCCCACCCCCGCCCCCTCATGGAGGCCCCTGCACAATGGAACAGACACCTTCCCACCCTCATCGTCCCTGGCAGGTGAGACCGCCAAGATACATGGGGTTTACGAAGGTTGATTGTTCGAAGGATCACCAGACCTTTCTTCTTTGTCCACCTTAAACCGGAACCCTGCTGCGGCCTGTGCAGCCTCACAGCCACAAGCAGGCCCGCACGGACACATGGGTGGTGTGTGGGCTGGGACTCCTGCGTGAAGGTGGGAATCCTCCCACTCAGCCCTCACTGCTCCCTAAGCTCTCCCAGCGCCTTCTTTGACACACTGGGAAGCAAAGGGCCACAGGAGGCAGTGATGTCCTGGCCAGGGGGACCCAGCTAAGGAACCCCTGGGATGATCAGGGTGTGGCCCCTCAAGTGAGCATACTGCCATCAAAACCAGGGCTCCATCTACGACCATCTCCTTCCACCAAATGCCTGCAATCTTTTTACACATGACAAAGGGCCCTTCCCACTGACCCTCTCCGGGAAGAGCTCCAGAATGCCTCCAAAAGTACACCAAGGGTTAAAAAGAAGTCTGGTTATGTAGCCTCCTGGCTTCGGGCATGGGCTAAAGAACACTCCCTCAAGCCTTTCGCCCACCTTTGGCCCCAGCTGCCCTTTCTCTAGGCTTCTCCTGCTCACACCCTGCCATCCCAGAAATAGCTTCACCTTCCCCAGAAAAACTGCTTTGGATTTTCCCAAGACTTCTGTCTCTCAAGTTGGAGGAAGCCGTCTGGCTGTCTGGATTGGCGTCCATCGAGAGATTAACAGATGGACTGTTATCTGCAAACTCCCTTCGCTTCATGGTGTCTCGCTCTGAACCAAGTCACCATTTACTACTCTGATGAGCCTGGGCAGAGGTGGGCTTCACCTGGCACCACCTGAAGATCACCCTCCCCCATTTGGGGTCAGATTTTGCCCTGCTCTGGATACTTTCGGGACCCATCCAGAAAGAGTGCTTTCCCAGCCAGCCCCGTCCACTGTAAGTGTAATAAGCAGTTCAGTGAGCCAAAAGCCAAACTCACGGCCATCAAGTCAGTTCCCGGTCACTCAGAGTGACCCTGTAAAGGCAGGGTAGAACTGCCCCTGTGGGTTTCCAAGATTGTAACTCTAAAACGTCTCATTTTCTCCCGAGAAGCAGCTGGTCATTTTGACCCCGGGGTTTGCAGCCCAACAGGTCACCACGACGCCACCAGACAGTTCAGCGACGGAAGCAAACTCACCACCATGGAGTTAGTTCTGATTCCTAGAGACCTTACAGGACAGCACAGACCCAACCCTGTGGGTTTCCGAGACGTGACCACGTGCGCCCACTACGCCACCAGGGCCCCTTTCAATGCCGGACACCTCTCTCCACAGCTCCCCGGTTTGCTTCGGAGCTAACAACAAAAGAAAGCGAACACACAAAGCCAAGATGTCCCAGCTGCCCCGTGGAAGCCACCCCCACCCCCTCACGGGGCCTGGGGGCACCCAGACCCTGCCCTGCTCCCCCTCCCTCCGCACTGGTAAAAGCTTCCTCTGTAAGTGGATTATGCAAGAAAGCCAGTCTGGGGCAGAGGTGGAAAACGCATGAATCCTCCTTTCCTAGCTGCTTTGAGATCTCCCTGGCTGGCACGAGATTGCCTGTGATCCCGTTTGTCAGTTTGTCAGTTTCCATCTCGTGCCGCTCTGTTGATGTTTTGCTGCCATGAAGTTCAACTGTTAAACATTTCCCCAACGGGGAGTGGGAGGTGGGGGGTGGAGTCAGAGGAACCAACAATTTTTAAAACTCTCCTAGGAGCTTTAAAACATTTTAAGATCTTCAGAGTTTTTCATGGACAATCCTTGTTTTTTAAATCAGTCTCTCTTCCCATTTAATTGCTAGGCACTAGTAATCCATAGTAGGTAGCACTTATAAACCTGGGAGGCCTGGTGGCTACAAGTTGGGCTGCTAACCGCAGGGTCAGCAGTTCAAAACCACTGGCCGCTCCGTGGGAGAAAGACAAGACATTCTGCTCCTGAGAAGAGTTGCCATCTCAGAAACCCACAGGTGCAGTTCCACCCGGTCCACAGGGTCCCTCCATGAGTCAGCGTCGACTCAATGGCAGTGAGTCTGGTTTGGTTTTGTAAATAGTTATAAATGCACCAGGTGCTGGGTACTGACTGCTCCGGGAGCCCCGGAGGCAAAAAGGTCGGCTGTTCAAACCCACCAGCTGATCTCAGCAGAGAAATGAGGCCGTCTGCTTCGGTGAAGATTCCAGCCTTGGGAACGCCAAGGGCAGTTTTGCTTTGTCCTTCAGGGTTGCGAAGATTCAGAATCTACATGACGGCCAACAGGACGCCGCTCCCAGAGTTTTATACAATGTGAGTCGAGTTCCACAAAAGTAACCTCTGGTATGGGTCATACCACCCCCACTCGACCGAGGAGGAAATGGAGGCACAGTTTCTTGCCGCTGAGCAAGCCAGGCAGCCCGGCGTCAGAGTGCCCAGGCTTCCCCCACGAGCCTCTGCAGCCAGTCGCTTTGCCAAGGCCTGCTCGTCTTCCCCCTCATGAGCGTTGAAGACACTGGTGGGATCTCATGGTGGGGAAACGGCAGTGAACGCGCGAGAAAGGTCACCTTGGGCTTTGGTGGGACGTCCAGCGGGCACCAGCACACAGGCTGGTTTCTGCTTCAGAGGAGCTGTGGGGGCAGCTGTGCAGCTGGATGGTGGCGCCACAGTGCGTGGCACATCATTCACCCACCTCCGAGCCCAGTGAACAAAACCCTGCTCCAAACTCGTGGTCCCCAAAAGAGACCCTCCAGGAAAGGCGGCTGAGCCCTTAGAGCCTGGGGTCCTGCTGGGGATGCTAAGTGATGGCCCCCAAGGCAAATTAGAGTCCAGTAATGTGGTTAGGCTGCTCACTGAATGGTCAGCAGTTCCAACCCACCAACCACGCCTTGAGAGGAAAAAAATAAATAAATCAGGTAATCGGCTCCCATAGAGCTTTACACCCCTGAACCCCACAGGGGCAGTTCTACTCTGTCCTAGGGTCGATACACATCTGAATGGGCTCCACAGCGCATTACAACACAACTGCCAGCTTCCTGAACAGGGAGAGCCCGTATTCTCAGGAGAGTGTGTCTTCACTGTCACCCAGCGGATTCAGACTCTCAGTGACCCTAGAGGGCCGGGGAGCACTGCCCCGTGCGTTTCTACAACTGGAACTCTCGGCAGGAGTAGAAAGCCCCGTCTTTCTACTGCTCGGCGCCTGGTGGTTTCAAACCGCTGACCTTGTGGTCGGCAGCCCAAGTCATAACCACTATGCCACCAGGGTTTCTTAGGAGGGTCTGTACACCCTAACCATCTCCAAAATCCAAAACCAAATTCACTGCCAACCTACTCTGCCCCCAGGGCTGCTCTCCAAAGGGCACAGAAAATTAAAGCCAACAAATGAGACAATTCGAGGACAAAGGGACATGGCAGAAAGGTGTGTCGAGCCGAAATCTGAAAGTGGTTTGGTGTAACACACTCAGAGGTACCCCTACGTGCCCACCCTCCCCCACCCCATCACACACCACCAAACCCACTGCATCGAGGCTCCTCCCACTCACAGAAGCGGAGAAGACAAGCGAGGCGCGTCCACGGGGTTTCTAACGCTCTCATCTTCGGGGGGCAGACCCCTGAGCGGCTACTGGCTCCGAACTGTCAGCCTTCAGTTCGCACCTGGGCTCTTTAACAGCTCCGAGACCAGGGGTCCTTTATACACACATACACCCACCACCACCACCACCCGCCACTGCACCCCACATTCTCCTTCAGACGTGCTTTGCTGAGTGGTCCCAAGGGAAGTACGGCCACCACCCTTGGTGAAAACCCAGCAGCACCTTCACCACCCCGAGGGTGTCATCTTAAACCGAGTGACAACATTTAAAATCCTCCCAACTCGGAAGCAGTCAGTTTGTTACAACTGGTGAGTCAAATTGGGTCATGGAAACATTCTTATCTAAATAGTCCAAAGTGTTTATCTGCCCCAGGATCTCGCTTCTGAGAATAACTACCCTGCAGGCATGCAATCCCCCTGCTGGGGTGATTTGGGTGCACTACTACAGTTAGCAAAAAAGAAAAAGAGAGATGGGGGGTCGGCGCTGGGGGGTGGGGGAATTAAAAACCTAAGCCTGTTGCCGGCAGTTTGCTTCTAACTCAAAGCCACCTTACCGGCAGAGTAGAACTGCCCCCAGGGTTTCCGAGGCTGGAATCTTCACGGAAGCAGGCTGCCACATCTTTCTGCAGCAGAGCAGCTGGTGGGGTTCAGCCCTGGGCCAGCCGTGCACTTAACCATTGCTTGACCAGGGCTCCCTAGAATCATACTCACAGCAAGCGCCAGAGACAAAGCAGGGGACAGGGAGGGCTCAGGGAGGGCAGCGGCATCTTTTCTCAGAAGTCAGGGGTTGCAACACCAAGCGCCGGGAGCACATTTCTGAAGGTGGTACCATGGTACCAGTACCTCTCCCGCATCTGCCCGGGTGCTGCCCGCAGCCCTGCTTCACCAGGGGTCACCGCCTTACGTTCCATGCTCTGGGGTCCACCACAAGGTCCACCGCTGCTTTTTTGATGCCGCCTGGTCTGAGAAAGGCAGGGGGCCGCAGGGTGCTCAGACACCCTTGGGTCCAGAGGAAAATAATCCTCAACATCCTCTTTCAGTGGACCAAACAGCAGATGGTCACTGGTTTCCAGCCTCTACCAGAGGGAAGGAAGTAAGGCTGCCCAACTGCTATTCGGTGCCTCCTTTGAGTCCTGGCTCTCTAGACACAGGCAGAAAAAATAAACCGGCCAGAAGCCCGCCTGAGGGTGTAAATGAAGGCCCTCCAAAGTCAGACATTCCCAAAGGAGCCCAACTGACTGCATCCCTTCCCACTCCGCCTGGAGGCAAAAGAAATGCCGTGTCCCCTGCAGGCTCCACAGTGGGACCAAGGTCAGTGTCTGGTCCCCATTTGTATATGTCTGTGGTGGTCTACTCGTTTGTTTTTAAAGAATAGAAATTAATTTTCTCTGTGTTCCAACTCATAGTGGGCCTACGGGACAGGGTTGACCTGCTTCAAAAGCTGTGGATCTTTATAGAATCAAATCTTTAGAGTTCTCCTCTTTCGGGCAGCTGACGGCTGCAGACTCTAGCCAATACCATCAAGGCTTCTTCCAGATAAAGGAAGGTACATGTGGCTCCAGGGGAAAGCTCTCGAGCAGCTTTGGGGGAAGATGATGAATTATTCTGGCTCTCCACTCCTGTAAAGAATCGCAGTCTCAGAAACCCCTGGGGAGCAAGTCCACCCTGTCCTGTGGGGTCGCTCTGAGTTGGCAACCTCTCCACGGAGGTGAGTTGGGTAGACCTGAGTTCTTTAGTAATCTCTCTTCCTTAGCAGCTTGCTGGTTTACCCAATCCGCTCTTTTTCTGAGTCTCAAAAGGGATTAGGCAGAAAGCACACCCTACAAAAACAGAGCTCATTAACATTACAAAGAGAACCCTGTTATCGAATTGGATTACAAGCTCAAGGATCTCAGAAACTGCCGCTAAATTGATTCCAATGACATCAAAGGTCCGCAAGTTTAAAGCCAGCAGTGCAGCCTGCTCCACGGGAGAAAGAGGAGGCTTTCTACTCCCGTGAAGAGTGACAGTCTTGGAAAACCAGACCTACAGGTCCTCCAGGAGTCAGAACTGACTTGACGGCAGTGAGTCTGGGGTCTGTTTGGCTGGAGAAAGGAAGAAGGAAATGAAGGGAGGAGGGGAGGGGAGGGGGTAAACATCAACTCCACCCCAATGGCTCTTGGTGACCCTGTGGGACAGAGGCCTGAGCCAGTCCCACAGCCAACTACTAATCCACATGGTCTCTGTTGGCTCATTTCCCATTACTGCCAGCCACGGGGATTGAGCATGAGGGCGCTGGCTGGGAATCCACTGGGGTCTCCTGCTGGAAGGCGAGAACTCCACCATGGAGCCACCAATGTCCACACATGGCCCACCCCCAAACACAGTTGCACAAAATGTCCAGCGGGTGCCGAGGATGATCATGCGTGCCACCCCAGACTTGGATCTGAGGTCCAGTTCTCCAACCTGCCGCTTCTAGGTGACCACAACCCTTTGGGGGGCCCTGGGGAGACTCTGAGAGGGACAGTGGCAAGGGGTGGGGGCTGCAGCCTGGAAGAGCAGGGCATGCTGGGGGTGGCGAGAGCCAGAAGAAGCCAGGTGCCTTAGAGGGGAGGGCATAGGGAGTAGAGGGAAGACAGGCTGGCAGGGGGGGGGTGGGGGATCCTTGCCTGCCTGGTGGCACAGCAGTCACGTGGAGAGACGGGGCAGGCAGCCTTTTCCGGACAGATCCCAGACTTGGGGACTCTACAGGTCAGATCTGCTGTCTACCGGCCACTATGAGTCGGAAGCAACCATCTGGTGTGAGTGCCCGGCAGAGGATAAGAGCTAGGCAAGGCCTGGAGAGCTGGGGAAACTTGTCCCCGGAAGTCTGCCGGGGCTGTTTCCCTCCCAGGGGCACCTCTTGATGGCTCTTATCGAGGGGCTCTTGGGCCCCCTGCCCCACCGCCACCCGCGCCGCTGCTGATGAGCACTATCTGCGGGAAGCAGACAGCACCAGGGGAGAGTAAATTTAGCACAGTTTAAACAGCAAGCTCCTGGAGCCCGGAGCACCCATCCTCCACCGCGGAGGGAAGGGACTCTGTTGGTCGGTGAGGGAGGCAGAGGAAATGCCAGGCAGGCTCCTGTGTGACATCGACCTGTCTCACCCGGTCGCACTTGTCTGTCCAGAGCTGGCTCCAGACCTGGGCCGGGCACGTATGTGACCACACCGACATGACCCTGCCGCTCAACTGCCCATCCCATCTGGAGCTGCAGGCCCGTGACAACAACGTTTCTCAGGGGACAGTCCCTGAATGCCAAGGCTGCCTAGCTGCTGGTGGTTACAACAAAAGGCATCAAATTGCTCCATGAGCTGTCATCTTTAGCACCTTAATTTAAGCCCAGCAAGAAACCTGAAAATGTTCCCTTAACGGGCAAATTCACCAGACCCGGGGTAGGCACCTACCTGCTGACAGGTTGTCTAGAGTTTGGGGTTTGTTTTTCAGGGGACCTTCATAGGGAAGCAAGGATGGTGGCTAGAACCCTTTAGAGGCCCTCGCACGTGAGAACCAACGGAGTGGGTCACTTACTGAAAATACAGCCTCAACTCCCCTCCTTTCTGTCCCAAGAAAGACTCGGTGGATCTGAGGTCAGGCCCAGAAAGGGGCATTTCATCACACACACACCCTCCCCACACCTCCACTTGGTGGAATACACTTTGAGGGCCTCTTCTTTGGGAAAGGAGAATCAGGAATTCCACGTCTGGAAGCTTGGGAGTAGGGGACACGGTTCTGAGCAGCCTTGCTGAAAAGCAGGACAGGGGGCTAAAGCAGGAGGTACTTAAGACAGCAGGGTGGAAGCCAGGACCCAAAGCAAGGACCCAGCCTCTGCAGAGCTTGACGGCTATGTAATTTTTCTTTGAAGAAAAAATCATTCAGAATTATTCCAATAACCACCACCAAATTCCTTCCAGAGCCTGGGAAGGAGCCCATGTGAGCAGAGAGCCAGAGGATCCTCCTTGCCTGGCTTCCCACTAACTCCACCTTTTCTCCCTAGACTTCCCTATACCCACTGCTTGGTGGTGACCTTTCCCACCTGGGGGGCAGGCTTTAAACCTAAAAATCCTAGGGAAATCCTGCCTGTGGTCCAAGCATCCAAGCCCGGTCTGCAGTGCTTAACAATGGAACCTCCCCACACACAGTTCATTAGGCTGACCACCTGTTACTCTGAAAGGGCCAGAGTCTCCAGGGTCCCTCAAATGTCCCCCACCCGTAATAGCACTCCCCACCCACGAGGTGCCCAAGATTCCACTGTTCTAGGTGGGGTACCTCAGGCCCCAAGCTATCCCAAACAAGATGCCTTCAGCACCCCAGCTATCCAAAACCCTCTGCGGGGAGGTCACCTGCCACTCTTTTGTGAAAAGGAAAGCGGGGATAGGAGAGCAGCTAACAATGATTATACATCTAGCAGGTGGAGGGGGGCCGGTGATACAGGGAGTTATGCAACTGGCCGCTAACCACAAGGTTAGCAGTTTGAAAACACCAGTCGCTCCATGGGAGTTTCTACAGGACTTTCTACTCCCATAAAGAGGTTCGGTCTCGGAAAGCCACAGGGGCAGTTCAACCCTGTCCTGCAGGGTCACTGGGAGTGGGCCCTGACTCGATGGCAGTGAGTTTTTTGAGTCTGAGTTGTCGCGTGTTTTAGTTGCGTGCTCACAATTCTATGAAATCCATTTTACAGATGAAGAAACGGGTGTGGCTGGTTAGCGAACTGTTTTGGGGGTGCGGGAGGTGGGCAGCATTGAGTTTTAGCATTTCCCGATTTCCAGGTGTGAGCAGCCTATTTCCAGTTCTCCCCAGCTTGGCGCTCGCACTCGAACATTAGAGGCTGTGAACCTGGAAGCGATGTCACTGACGTGCCCACGGGAACGTACACTTGAATCAAGAGCCACTCCACGGGGCCGAGCAAGGGAATGCTGTGCCCTTTCAAATCAAGAAAGGTGTGCATCAGGATGGGAGCCTCTCACCATCCTTATTCAATCAGTCTGCTGAGCAAATAATCCGAGAAGCCGAACTGCATGAAGAAGAACGTGTCAGCAGGATGGAAGGAAGACATTAGCCCCGTGCCCTGTGCAGATGACACAGCCGGTGTGTTGAACGCAAAGAGAACTTGAAGCACCTGCTGATGAAAATCAAAGACTTCAAGCTGCGGTATGGATTGTAGGTCAATGTAAAGAGAACCAAATCCTCACCGCTAAACCAAGAACTCGTCATGATAAATGGAGAAAAAATCAAAGTTGCCAAGGATTTCGTTTTGCTTGGCTCCACAATCTACACCCATGGGAGGAACAATCAAGCCATCAAATGACATACTGCACTAGGCAAATCTGCTGCCCAAGACCTCTTGGACGTGCTACAGAGCAGAGACACCACTTTGAGGACCACGGTGTGCCTGACCCCAACGATGTTCTTTATTTTGTTTAATTGCCTCACACGCATGCAAAGATTAGACAATGTGTAAGAGAGACTAGAGAAGAAATGATGCATTTGAATTGTGTTCGTGGTAAAGAACGTTGAAAGTCCTGTGGAATGATAGAGAAAGAAGCTCGTCTGTCTTCTCAGAAGTGCAGCCAGAATGCTCCTTACAAGCAAGAATAGCAGGACTTAGTCTCAAACTTCGGACATGTTATCAGGAGGAGCCTGTCCCTGGAGAAGGACAGCATCGTATCCGGTAGAGTGGAGGGTCTGTGGAAAAGGGACTATGGGCTCAAATATAACAATCGTGAGGATCGTGCCAGACTGGGCAGGGGTTTGTTCTGCTGGGCACGGGGTCCCGCTGAGTCAAAACTGACTCAGCATCTTCTCACAGCAGCATGCTTATCTAGCAAGGGCCCTGGCTGGTCCAAGAGGTTTGCGCTCAACAAATAACGGAAACGGTAGCCCTGGGGTGCAATGGCTAAGCACTTGGCTGCTAAGCCAAAAAACATCGGCGGTTCAAACC